CTGAAAATGGATTTATGACTACAGATCAAATTGTGCCCCACACAGTACTTATTTAAAATATCTGACAAGCTCTCTGAAGTTTGTCTATGTTCCCTTTTTTGCTTAGACAACATATTAAAAACAAATGTCCTGCCATTATTCATGCTTTTAACACTGAGATGTAATTGATAAAGCTGGTGAAAAGTCTGAAGAATGGTTTATATACAAAGCAAAGTGATTACTTACTGTTCAAAGCTGAAGTTTTCAAGAAAATGAGCAACCTAGATTCTAGGAAATCCAGCCATGAATTATTGAAAAGTCCATTAAAATAAAGCCATGCCAAACAGAAATATTTCAGACACACCAAGTCTATCAAAGAGATGTGGATTTTCTCAGATATTGTTATCACACTTTACTTAATATGAGTTTGAAATAAATGAGAGAGTATGCTGCTGAACGCCACATGAGCTCTCTGAAACCGTTCACATTTCTCTCTTTACTAGGTTAAATGAAACCTGATCTGGATTCCACTTGATCATAAGACTGGAATGCTGAAAATGCTGTAATCTATTTATACATCAAATTGAAGAAACATTGCATGTCTTTAAATTTCACTGCATTCCAGTGTATTAGCTAGACAGCAACAGTTTACAAACTGTTTCACGTTCAAACTGAGAAAAAGACAGACCAACGTAACTGATTTATCCTAAAGCCAGGATTGATTTCGTGGCTTTAAAACTGTGGCCCAAACCCAGGTCTGCTCCGTGCCTTCCCTAAAAGCCTTGCAGCAGTAATTCATCATTAGTGCCAAAACATCATGCCTTATGATGACTTCCAAATCCACAGTTCTTTTTTAGCATCAAGAACAATCCCAAACTACAATCCCAAACCAGATTTGCAGCTCAGATTTTGTCCATACTTCTCTTCCCTCTGCCTCTGAACCACAAATGGTTCAAAATACAGCAGACAGCAAGGCTGAGAACAACTGTGGTAAATAAGAGCAGCCAAATCCCACAGATGAAATCCATACAGGGGCTTATTCAGCCCAGGAGGTGTTGGCAGTAACCCACCCACCAAGAGACCACCTCAGGCCCCCCAGTGGAACGCCAGTCTCCACAGAATGCTGTCATTTCCCTCAGTTATTTACAGAATAATTTACAGAACAGTGGTGTTTGGCCCACCATTCTGACTGGAGGAGCTGCTCCTGTTCAAACACCACAGCTGTGTGCAGCACAAGATCTTCAGAAAAAGCAAAGGTGCCCATCATGAAGAACAGCCTAATAAGCTAAAGGCCTGTCTGTTGATCTGTACAAATGTGCATTCTAGATTTTAACGTCTCTCAGTAAAGAAAGACACACCTGCCACTGACATTTGATGGGTTTTGCCACTGACTTGAAAGGGGTCAGGATCAGGCTAAAAACTGATTATGGTATGTTCATTTCTACTTGACCTTTCAATGTGTTTCAATGTGTGAAACAGTGTCCATCTTTCTCACTTGTCATTCCTATAGTTTTTTTTCATTAGTTGTTGGATTTAGTGCTTATTATTTCCCATGTAGAAGACTATGAACACTACAAAGACAAAAAGAGCAATTTTTTTTAGAGTCGGGGGAGAGGAAAATTCTGTGCTCTTTGTCACATGAAATTTTAGGAGCCTGAAGCTAAATACTGCAATACTATTCATGGTTCTCTGGATAGTTAGTGGCCTTTATAAATGCAAAAATCCCACTTAGACATTCAAATAACTGATTTGCCATTTTCTGTGCCCTTCTTCCCTCCAGCAGTCTGTAACCTGGTATTTGTCTTCCAGGTCTTGTGTCTTACTGCTTGAAATTCAAAAGAACTTGAAATTCAAATTACAATTGCATCTCAGTTGGGATTGAGACTATTTGGGGTACTTTAGAGGAGTCTTAAAAACAAGAATAATTTGAGTCAATGTCTTTCTGTCTAGAACCACGAGTTTCATAGAAAGAAAGATGTACAGTTTACAGTAAGGAATTTCTATACTACTATTTATTTTAAAATTTATAATGGTAATGCAGGATTTGATATGGGTCATCAGAAACAGAGTGCTCTCTTAGAATATCCAGTTTTTAGTAACTCCTAAATTTCTCCTCAAATTTGAAAAGACCCTAGGGAAAAATAAACTGCTTGTCACTTGTTCATTACTGTGCCAGTATGTTACTATTGCTAAGACAGTATCACATGGCCTGACTAAAATTTAGGTCTCAGTACTCAACACACAAAAGAATGGTAAGTGGAGCCCTCAACAGTTCTCTATATCTGCAGATAAGGCAGATGAGAGAGAAACAAATGAAGATCAAAGAATGAAAAATAACTTGTACAAAGCCATACTGCAGATCAATACCAACTGAGGGGTGAGACTGAAGCTAAAAAACAATCCCCTAAACGTTTGCTACTGACTTCCCCTCAAACAGTCTCAGCCTGGACTCCTGATCCATGAGTAGATGCCCTTTTTGTTAGATCAATGGCATCCTCAGGCTAGATTTTAATCTCTAACAGTAATCACCTTATGTTATTAAAGGCTGAGATATCTGAGCCCATGCGCTCTGGATGCTAATAAACTGACTCTTTTTATTATTCCTATCTCTTTCTTTTGAAAAACATCGTAATTTTAAAGTTTATATCAGGGCTTTTCAAAAGCTTAAATGTACACATACACCTATTAATACACATTAATATTAATGTGTAATAATATATAATACATATATCGACATACATCTTTATCCAGCCGTGCATTCATTTCTGGGTGTGAGCACGTGTGGGGCAGTGTGCACTCCATAAGCATTCAGGGGTTTAGTGTGTGCTAGTGCCACACAGATTTTAGCCACCATCAGTGGAAGCACCACCTTTTGACCATTTAAAATTCTAGAAACAAACAGAACATTGTAGTGCCATTTTCACTGGGTATCTACAACTATCACACTCCAGAATAGCTTCTTTTTTAGTCTCCTATCACTTGTGGGGGCATTTCTGCCCTCAGTCCAGAGGCTGTGTGAGAGATACTTTCACATGACTGGTGCATGATCTTTAAATGGCAAAATATGTAAAATCACCCACAGTGAGAACAGGAGAACCACAAGGAAAGCCACCAAGGGTGTCACTGACACCTGTATGGGGATCCTCCTAGTGAAGAGTGTAATGGTGAAGGTGACGGAGAGAGCAGAGGAGAATTGCCCAAAGCCCTGTCGGGTGACACGGCAGCGGTGAGAAGGAGCCTGGGGCCCTTCCCTGCCTGCTCCATCTGGCCTGTCCAGGTCCAAACAGCCAGCACAGGACACCGGGAGGGTGCCGCTGAGCCGGGGCTCGCACACGCAAGCAAAAGGCACCCGGGAATTCCTTTTAGCTAACTGTGGCCAATGTTGTTCTTGAAGGAAAAAAGGAATAAGTATATGCTTGACGCTTAATGAAAATATCAGTGTATTTGTGCCCAACATACTGGAATATTGTTCAGCACTAATTCAACGTCGCAAAAATATTATCAGTGTAACGCTGGCAAGGCCATTGTGTGGTTTACTGCGTGGATCTTGGCTAACATGGCTGTGGGCTGTAGCAATTTTCATACTTGATTTTTCAGAAACCTTTCTGGTTTGTTAGTGAGTCAGTTCACCTTATTCATTCTTGTTCCTTATCCTTTGACTATTTTACTTTTATTAATCTCCCATTCTCTTTGCTAGACCACACTAGCCCGTTCCTTGTTGCGCTCCTGACGGCGGCGCCCGGCCGGTGTGGGAGCAGCGCGGCCGTCGGAGCGGCGGGGACCGAGCCCTGCTGAGGGACCGTGCCCTGCTGAGGGACCGTGCCCTGCTGAAGGACCGTGCCCTGCTGAGGGACCGCCGGGGTCAGGCCCGGGGCCCGCAGCCCGGAGGGACACGGAGGGGCTGGAGAGCATCCAGGGAGGGGAACGGAGCTGGGAAAGGAGCTGGAACACCAGAAAGGGCTGAGGGAGCTGGCAAGGGGCTCAGCCTGGAGAAAAAGGGGATCAGGGGGGCCCTTGTGGCTCTGCACAGCTCCTGATAGGAGGGCACAGCCGGGGGGATCGGACTCTGCTCCAGGGAACAGGGACAGGAGCAGAGGGAACGGCCTCAGGCTGGGCCAGGGCAGGCTCAGGGTAGGCACAAGCAGGAATTTCCCCATGGAAAGGGGAGTAAGGCTTTGGCACTGCCCAGGGAGGTTTGGAGTGCTCATCACTGAGTTGGCCCAGGAAGGGCCGGACGTGGCACCCAGTGCTCTGGGCTGGGTGGCAAGGTGGGCATAGGGCACGGTTCGGTCTCAGCGGTCCGTTCCAGCCGGAATGAGGCCGCGGTGCCGCGGGTCAGGGCCCCGGGCCGGGGCCGCCGCGCAGCTCCCGGGCCCGGCGCTGGTCCGACCGCAGCGGGAGCGCTGCCCGGCCCCGCCCGACGAGGGCGCTCTCTCGCGTTCGCCGGCGCTCCGGCGGGGCTGCGCACTCTCCGCCGGCCGGGGCTGCGTGCGGCCGGGCGCGACCAACCCCGGGGGGGGAGGGGGGAACTCGGCGTGCGCCGCCATATCCCAACTGTCCCCCGCAGGCCGCACTCCCCCGCCACCCCCACGCCGCGCTGCGCTGCTTTGCGCCGGGCCGTGACGTCACCCGCCGGGGGCGTGGCCACGTCGCTCCCAGGGTGCAGCGCACAAGTTGAGCCCCATCTTGGGCGAGAGGAGCCGCGGCCCTACCGCGCTCCGGGAGCTCCGGGGCCGGTGCAGCGCAGCGGGTCCGCCCGCCCGCGGCCGCTGAGCGCCGCTCCCCGGGCCGCCGCGGCGCCGGCATCCCGCCCGCGGCGGGGGTTTGCCCGTGGGGCGAGCCCGCGGGCCCGTTGCGAGCAGGATGCGCCTGGCGCTGGTCTCCAGGTAGAGCGCGGAGACAGCGGGGGGGGGGGTGGGATACGGGGCCGCCCGGGCCTCGCCCGGCCAGCGCGGGGCCCCTCGCGCGGGGCGGGCCGCGGGCCCGCTGCTGCGGGCCGCAGGAAGCCGCGGGGCGCTCGGAGCGGCGGCAGGGAGGAGAAGGAGGCCCGGCCGCGGGAAGAGGGCTGCGGAGAGGGAGGAAGAGGAGGAGCCCCGCAGCCCCCCGCCCGCCGCAGGAAGCCGCCGGAGGATGTACGGTAGCGCCGGGGGCCCGGCCGGCACGCCGTGACAGCCCGCCCCAGCGTCCCGCTCGCCTCGCCACGGCCGGCCGAGCTCCTTCCTGCGGAGGAAACATGTCCAAGATGCCGGCCAAGAAGAAGAGCTGCTTCCAGATCACCAGCGTGACCACGGCGCAGGTGGCCAGCAGCATCACCGAGGACACCGAGAGCCTGGATGACCCGGATGAGTCCCGCACCGAGGACGTGTCTTCTGAAATCTTTGATGTTTCCCGAGCCACCGACTACGGCCCCGAGGACGTCTGCGAGCGGAGCTCCTCTGAAGAGACTCTCAACAACGTGGGCGAGGCCGAAACTCCCAGCAGCGTCTCTCCCAATCTCATTTTGGACGGGCAGCTGGCTGTGGCTTCTGCTGGGGTAGCTGCAGGCCCCAACGGGGGGGCTGTGCCCAAAAGTTCGGCCGTGCCCCTGCCGGCTGTTGCTCCTGGCACTGCTGTGGGGGGAGGCAGCAGTGCTCAGGCACCCACTGCCCCCGGGGCCATGTCTCAGACGGCGGCTGCTGTGTGCAGCTCTCGCTTCAGGGTGATCAAGCTGGATCACGGTACTGGGGAGCCCTACAGGCGAGGCCGATGGACGTGTATGGAGTACTATGACCGGGACTCCGATGGTGGTGGTGTTCTGGGTAGGACTGGAGATTGCATTAGGCACAGCAGCACCTTCGAGCAGGCTGCTCAAGAGAGGGACAGTGGCCTCGGTGCCACAGGAGGCTCTGTTGTGATCTCGACTGTGCCGGTGTCAGCCCATGGCCCCGATTCTATAGCTGACAGCTCCCTGGCTGCTGTGTCACAGCTGCTTCAGACAGAGAAAATGAACCAGTCCTCTCTACAGCAACCTAATTTTGTCATTGGGCAACAGCAACAGCCCGTAGGTGGGGCCGTGCCTCAGAGTACTGCTCAGCCTGTGTTTTCTGGGGCTTCGGGAGCGAGTCAGCAGATGATAGTGCCGCAGCAACCACAGCCGCAGGTAAATCCACAGGGTGTTTCACAGGCTGGACCCAACGGGAAAGGCATGGCACCGTCAAATGTGACAGTAGGGCAGTCAAGCATTCCTGTGGCCCAGCAGCAGGTGCAGCAGGCAAACATACCAGTGACTCAGCCTCAACAATTTGCTTATTCTCAGTCCCAGATTCCACCAGTGCATCTACTGCCGACGCAGCCTCCTGGGCAGGCTGAATACATGCAGCACATGACAATTATGCAGTCTCAAGGAGCTATTCAGCAGGCTACTACAAGCTCTGCTCCCAGTACTGTGGCCTCCAGCCTTGCTGTGGGGCAGGTGACGGGCCAGACCCCCTCAGCTGTGGGAGCGCCGGTGATGGGGGTGTCAGCGCAGCCCAGCGAAGCGGTCGGGCAGGGGTCGGGGCTGCTGCAGAGTGGCCAGGCACCAGCGAGCCAGCCTGCCCTCCCGCAGCAGGGAGGTGTGGTGCAGCCAGGCCTGGGGCATACGGGGGTTGTGCAACAGAAATCTGTGACTCAGCATCCAATGGGGGGAAGCAGTCAAGTGTCGGGAATGCCTGGTGCTCCCCATGCCGTGGTCCCTGGAGTTCAGAGCGTGCCTGCGGTTGTTCCCGGTACAAGTGTGCCTAGTGCGTCCACCACCGCCTCTGCTGCTATGCCAAACGTCCCTGTCACGCTGGTGCAGTCCCAGCTGACGAGCCACCCTGCTGCCAGCAGAAGCACCGGCGCGGTCCAGTCCCAGCACGTCGGACACTCGATGATGCAAGGTGCGCCCAGCACCCCCGCCAGCCTGCCTCAGGCCAGCCTCGGACAGTTTCAGACCCAGGCCCAGTCCTTAGCAGGCCAGATTGATGATACTAGAAGAAAATCGGAACCCCTACCTCAGCCACCGCTTTCTCTTATAGCTGAAAATAAACCTCTTGTGAAGCCTCCCATTCCAGACGCTCTAGCAAATCCTCTTCAGTTACCTGCAAGTACTCCGATGAACAGTCTTGCCAGCTCTGTTTTTGGCATATCCATTCCTGTTGATGGTGATGAAGACAGGTATGAATTATTTTATAATGCCATAAAAAAGAGCTGTGTTTTTAGGGGCGGGGGGAGAAGTCAACTTTCAAGTTATTGCCCAGTGTTTTTTGTAAATTCTCATTTTCAGAAGGTCATGCTGCGGTTCACCCGAACTATATTTTTCTTTTAGGAGTGCAAACCATAGCTAAGTGCTTAGGCCAGTAGTGAATTGTACTTGTTTTTTGCAGGGTGTGAGTGTGATTACTTTTCTCACAAAATGGGGTACAAAGTATCCTGGAAGCTGCTTAATGCATGAATAATATTACCTCTTCCAAATCAGAAGACTGAAAGCTGCCTTTCTGTAGCCAGTGGCTGAGGCTGTGCGGAGGGCTGTTCTCTCATTTTTCCTGAATGCATTATGAAGCACTTCAATGGCAGTTGGGTTAAAATGACATTGTATTGCAGCGTTAAATCTGTGTGGTGCTATCTCAGGGCTTTTAACATAGAGTCTTGATTTTTACTCTGCTGTAGAGTTGACACTTTATAGTGTCAGTTAGTAAGGAAAGTTACTTGGATTTGTATGTGGATTTGTGTGCAAATCCGTATGCAGGGAAAGCTCTGCAGAGAATGGTCCTTTGTGCTGAGAAAACAGACACTACTTGGGCAAAGATGTGGACACGGTGGGAAGTACAACCTTACAGTGAGTTTTTTTAAGTTGGAAAGTAATTTGGAACTCTAACTTGTACCAGAGGGGTGTGGTGTGAGCAGACTCCTGAGAGGGCCTGGGAGAGGGAGTGGGTGTGTGGCTGCTGTTCCCATGGACACGTCGGGCTGCTCCGAAGGCCAAACCACTCGATTGACTTCTTTGAGGGAAAGAAGAATCAAGCAGTGTTTGAGCACTGAATTCAAGTCCCCACATTTGCTGTCAGAATTGTTGCAGTTTGGAGGAAGGGAATACATATGTGTTACTTGTTTTTAAAAACAGGCATTAGTCCATGATGAGCAGATCTTGTGGTGAATTTCTCTGTAAGTCTTCTCTCACCTTGAGGCAGCACCAGACGTGAAGATAATATAGTCAGAGTTGCTTTGAGGATGTTGTAGTGAAGCAGCTGTGTCTGTGGAGTTGGGGTGCAGTGGGTGGAGAGAGCACCTCAGAGTGGGTGGAGAGTTCAGACTGCAGGTTTAATGCAGGCCTGTGCTCGCTGGAGCACCGGCTGACGCTGTGTCTGAGAAAGTAACTGCTGTGCTTTTCTGCAAGGAAAAGCTGTGGTTTGGAAACCTGTGCTGGTTTTGAATAAAGGGGTGAAGGACTAACTAAAAGTTTAAAATTTACTCACAGTTTGCCCACCTTAAGAAGACTGCTAATCTGGCTGACAAATTGCCTTGTGCAAGTAAGGTTTGATTTCAAGCTGGTGGGTTCTTTTCATAGCTCAGTGTTTTTTGAGAAGACGATTTATCTGGTGTTTAATCATTCTCTCGATTCAGGAATCAGAAAGAAAGGAATGCATTTTGCATTTGTTTTCCATAGCTTCCAATACTTAATATAAATTGTGGCAATGAACATGATTATCTGTGACAACTTAATAACTTCTGTGTAAAGACAGAGAAAAACTTACTCTGCTTACTCAAATTACGGGCATGTAACTTTGTGTGGCACTCCAGTGGGTCACTTCTTGCTGCTCTTACCAGAACAGTGATTCTTAAAGTTAATTTTCTAGTTTAGTCCTTGCACTTGCCACCTTGCAGTGGTGCTTCACATGGTGTTCATGTCTAAAGAGACTCTTGCAGACACTTTGCCATGAGAACTATGAGTAAGAAATGGAAATGGGGTGTGAATACAGTGTGCCCTTTTTGGTAGGCCATGCTGTGGTGTTCAGTAGAGAAATGAAAGTCTGGTTATCAGTGGAGGAGTGCCTGTGTGTCGTTTGTCAGCTTCTGCACTGGGTGATAAAACTGTGCCGTGTGCTGGGTTGTCAGAAAGCCAGGAGCACACGTACGGTGTGAGAGTCTTTCCCAGCTGGGAAGGTGATTCTGGTAAGCCATGAAAGCTCACCTGAAACAGACCTAGACCTCATACATAACATAGGAGATAGATACAGACACAGTAGATGGGAGTTTATTCTTTGCTTCCCTCAAACAGTAGCCTGATTTGCACTGGCTTCAGGCAGAGAAAGGTGAGAATGAAAACCTAGCAGCTTGTTAAGGCTGTTTTACCTTTGGTTTTTATTTGCTTTACTCTCTGAGAAGGCTTTATTGTAAAACTGTCTCCTGCTTGTCGGCTGTTCTATTCTTGCTCCTGCTTTTTTCCCCTTTCCAGCCATTTAAATCGTGCTGCCACTCCCATGGGCTTTGCCCTGCTGCCTTATCTACTGGAATCGGTGGTGAAATAGTTAATGAAGACCTTCAAGTGTCATTAATAGGCTGGGGGTTGACACTGATAAAGCTATTAAAGCACAAAGGGAGCTGATACATCATGAGTCATGGTTTGTGCTGGCAGGTCCAGGAAGTTAGCGCACAGCTCATTTCAGAGAGGTTACTTGGTGGTCATAGAAGCTATAAATCTGTGGAAAGCGTTTTTCTCTTTGTCTTTTGTACTATTAATCTGTAACATTCCCAGAAAGGAGGCTCAGTGCGGAGGCAGGTATCCAGGTTTCTTCTGGCACCTGCAGTTATACTTCAGTATTTGCACATACTTGAAGCTTCACAGACTTGTGTAGATCATTCTCCTGTAGTCATCTTCTAAAGCAGTGACTCATCAAGGAGTAGTGTATAGCTCTCAATACCCTGGATTTACCTGGAAAGTTACCATTCTGAATATGAAGAGGAACTGTTTTAAAGGTAAAATAGTTAGAATGAAAATTCTTTGAAAGCAGCATGTTGGTAAAACAGTAAACATGGTGTAAAAAGTTGATCAGTACCTGTACTTCTGAAACGGTTTTTTTATTACTCCTATCCTATAGTCTGCTGTTTTAAATTGAACAGCATCTAAGGTTATTGGGATGGAGGTGATCCAGTATGATATATAGAGAACTATGTTTATAGATTGCTTTCTTCCAAGCCATTGCCCAAAGACTTTTAATTTCATGTTCCCATAGCCCGGTACACTTTGCCAGTAGTCCATAAAAACCTGTGGTTTCTTGCATTGACCTGATGAATAGTGAAGAATCAATTAATTGGAAAATCTTGTCTGTGGGGGAAGAAAGGGTGGATAGGTGGCCCAAAAGAATGAAAAAGAAAAAAGCCTTCAGTGTGTTACACCTTCCTTGAAAAGCAATGCCAGTATTTCAGTTGATGTTTCCGAATTGCTATGCTCTTAAAAAGAAAAAATTGTGTGTGAAAGTTATGAAATATTTACCGCATAACACATTTTCCTCTTTAAATGTGGCTGCAAATAAAATAAGCTGCAGCAGTATTAAAGGATGGAGGAACCAGTACTGGTACGGAGGCAGATGCGGGTATTGTTGTGTCAAACAGGGAAAATACTAATTGTGTGAAAACGCTATTGGAACTAGGTCTCAAAATTGCTCTCACTCTTCTTTTGTTGGACTTCAGCACTAGTACTAATTATTTTGGAGGGAGGGCAGTTAGAGCACCTGAGAGGATGTTGGTAGCAGTGTGTGTCACGTTCTCTGCTTGTACTTATGCCCATGTATACACAAATTTGTAATTGACAAGCAGAATATTTCATCTGGCTTAATAACTTTATTTTGGCTCTTGAGGGAAAAGAAATATGTGGCTTCTGTTAAAAGAATGTTACTGAGAAAGCTTGTTCAAACCTCCTACATGTTTGGCAGACTTTTGGGGCAAAATATTACTAGGGCTGTTGGAAAAGGCGCAGAGTATAGATCATTTTCCAGAGATAACTGCCCGGCTTGAACTGTTGCGGCTGTATTCCAGGAACACTAATGAATGGCTGCAATTGTGAACTGTCAGCTATGGCAGCTGAGCTGTTGAGAACCTGATTGTGCAGGGCTCTCTGCAGCATGGCTGCGAGCTCAGCTGAATCACGTACTCGTATGGAGCACTAACTGCTGGGGAACTGTGCTCTTGAGACCACGTTCATTACATAAGGACAAAACTGGGCATGGGATCGCTTAACTATTGCCCTACATGCATATTTTATTGTGCTCCTAAAAAAAAAAGTAAGTTTTCTGCAAGTACCTACCAGTACATGATAGTTGAATTGCATTAGTTGGCAGTGTTATCCCTTTCTTCACCTTGCTCCTAAACTTTACAGAGGCTTGAGCTCTCCTGCAGCTGCAGACTTGTTCTCAGCTCTCCTGCGGAAGGCCTGTGTTTGTGATGTGTGTGGGAGCAGGTGGGAATGGAGCCTGGACAGACACGCTCCAGAGCCTGGAGAGCCTTTGGTTTGACAGGCAGTTCCAAAACTGAGCTGGGACTTCTGGGGTGGCCCCTGCAGCTCATGGCAGAAACGATGGTTAATGCAAAGGAGCTCCAGCTGGTTGTGTTCACTGCTTGCTATACTTTCTATAACAAAAATTACCAAGGGTAACTGCAGCACTGCATGGGTTTCTGCACAGTAGAAAGCCTGTCGTGCTGTGCAGTCACTTTTAGAGTGGCGCAAGATAGCTCAACAAAACTGTGGTTGCTTGTTCGACAGTACTGTTTCCCAGTTTAAACATTCAAATGCCTTTGTTAAGGAGGAGTCAATATATTCTTAAAAATTATAAGGTACATTAAGCGTTTCAGATGAGAGAGTTATTAAAAGGAGGGAATGGGGAAAGTAGTTGAAAGAAATTCACAGTGATACTCTTCAGGTTGTTTCAAAGACTGTGGTGACCAGCCCTGACAGGAGAGGTTCCCTGTACCTCAGACTCACGAGTGTTCTGCTCAGCTGCTGGGGGTTAGTTTTTTCCTCATCTCCTACAAAAGATGTTCCATAGCTGATTTCTGAGTACTGTCTGCATGACAGAAATAACTGCATATGTTTTATGGAAGCTATTTTAAACTTCTTGTTAAAAGCTGAATGTTGAAGTATTTGGATGTTTTGAAAAGGCAGGACTACCAAACTGCTCTCA